GTTTGTGTGTGTGTGTGTGTGTGTGTGTGTGTGTGTGTGTGTGTGTGTGTGTGTGTGTGTGTGTGTGTGTGTGTGTGTGTGTGTGTGATTCATTTGTATTTTTAGATTCCATTTATTTATATCATAATGTAACATGATGGGAAAAAAAGAAAAGAAAAATTGAAATAAGGAAAGATGAAGAAACGTTGATAATAAAAATTATATATAATGGTGGAAAGAAAGACAAATGAAGAAATAATTTCCTTTTTTTTATTATGCTAATCATGATGATTATCATGATTATCATAATAAAAAAATGAAAGAAAATCTGGAAATAGAGAAGACAGAATAAATGAAGATTATAAGAAACAAAAGGAGTTAATGGAGACTAGGGATAATAATTGTAATACTCTTTTGAATAATAAACATAACAATATTAATCGCAATGATAATGAACACGGTGAGTTTGATCATGGTGACAATAACATGCCAATGATATCGAATATGGAGAGTATTATCATAATGACAATAATGACAATAACATGCCAGTGATAATAGAACAGTTGTGATGATAATGAGGAAGATGATGATGATGAAGATGGTGATGATGATGGTGGTGGTGGTGGTGGTGGTGATGATGATGATGATGATGATGATGATGATGATGATGATGATGATGATGATGATGGTGATGGTGATGAAGATGATGATGATGATGATGAAGATGAAGATAATGATAATGATAATGATGATAATGAAGATGAAGATGGTGATGATGATGATGATGATGATGATGATGATGATGATGATGATGATGATGATGATGATGATGATGATGATGATGATGATGGTGATGGTGATGAAGATGATGATGATGATGATGAAGATGAAGATAATGATAATGATAATGATGATAATGAAGATGAAGATGGTGATGATGATATTAGCAATAATCAAACTAATTATAACAATAAAAACAATAGCAACAATAATAATGCCATTAAAAGGAACAACAAAGACGATAAAAATAATAATAATAACAACTACAAAATAACGAAAGCAATATTCACTGTATCTCTTAAGTTGGAATGCGGATAATTTGTTCACGTTTGTCAGTCCACATTAGACACGCGACTGTAAAAGACACACACGCACTTCCAGAATGAATTTGCAATCTGTAGTCAATAAAAAAAAATGTATATATTAACGAAAATTTATGGAAAATGATCAGAGGAGGTATAAGTCAGGGTGGTTTTGATAAGAAATATGTTGGATATATATTTTTTCTTTCTTTTTTTCTTTCTTTTTTTTGGGGGGGAGGGGGTGGGGTTTGAGGGGGGATTGCTTGTATGTCTGGATAAATTTCGTGTTTTATTTGGATTTTATTGCATTTGGGGTATGTGTGTGCGCTCGCGCGTGTGTGCGTGCGTGCGTGTGTGTGTGTGTGTGTGTGTGTGTGTGTGTGTGTGTGTGTGTGTGTGTGTGTGTGTGTGTGTGTGTGTCAATGTATGTGCGTATGTGTATGTTTGAGTGTGAATATGTATGTGTGTTTAAGTGCATGTTTAAGCTTATGTTTATATATGTGTATGTGAAAGTGTATGTGTACGTGTGTGTGATTCCTTGTACGTTATGTGTGTCTGTGTCCATCCTCTTTATATATATCGAAGTGCGTCATCAAAGCTGCTATTAATAACAGTATAAATTACTTCCATCATTAACAATCAGAATGGTGATCAAAATCTAGATGTATATATAAGATTAAGAATGACAAAGATAGGAATAACACCGCTAATAAAAAGAACAATGATAAGAATGAAAATTGAAAAGGATAATAACGATGATGATGATGATAGGGTTAATAATAATGATAATGATAATAATAATAATAACAATGAAGGTGATGATGATGATGATGATGATGATGATGATGATGACGATGATGATGATGATAATAAAAATAAAAACAATAATAATCATAATAACAATAATAATAATAATGATAACAATAATAATAATAATAACTAAAAGAACAATGATAATGATGAAAATTTAATATGATGATAATGATGATGATATGCAAATGATAAGTTAATGGTTTTCTTTTTTTTTCTTTCATTGAATCATTCGTAACTAACAGTACCGTTAATTCACAAACTTAGAAAATGTCCTCCGAGATGCTGTCAATACCAGCATTAATTATGGTATAAATTAGGCGAATTAATAGGCATTCAAAGAAAAACGAAAATAGGGCATAAACCGAAAAGAAAATTAGACATAAACTAAAACGAAAAATAAACATAAACTAAAAGGAAAAAATAGACATAAACTAAAACGAAAAATAGACATAAACTAAAACGAAAATTAGACATAAACTAATACGAAAAATAATCCTAAACTAAAACGAAAATTAGATATAAACTAAAACGAAAATTATGCACAAACTAAAACAAAAATTAGACATAAACTAAAAGGAAAATCGAATCGAAGCACCCCCCAGGTCGCTTTCGAAAGGTGTACTCAC